TTCTTTTTATCTGAATAGTAAACTGGCACATCTGGGGAATCCCGAATCTGAAAGTTCTGGGCTTCCTTGCAATAAGTAAAAACTACAAATCCATCATCCCCTGCACCCATCGCCGCATCACATGCCCCAATCACCATCTGTCCCAATTTGAGACATCCCCTCACACAGGTGCAGAAATAACATGACCTTGACTTAGAAGAAAAATGCTATTATGTCTAACCACATTCGCTCCAAGAAATTCCCCCCTCCCATTTTCCCAGGCTCAAGAATGTGGCAGCGTGGAAGCGTCTGGTGCTAATATGGCTTCCAAAGCTGACAGCCTCTGCCAGCAAAAATGGAGCTCGGGAAAGCCGTGCATGCCCCCTCCCCCCGAGCTGTGTTTTCCCTGGCAGAGGGCCTCAGGAGGCCATTGCAGTCAAAAATGGAGCTCAGAGTGGCCATGCATGATCCTCCCAAGTCCAGGAAACAGTCCAGGAGTCAAACAGGTCAGGATACATGGCACGTTGCTCCAGCAACACTCAGGGTCAGGTTAAGTAGTGTAGGAAGTCTCCCCCTCCTAGAAGAATGGGGTTGTTTTTTTTGGAGAAATATTAAAAAGGCAGGAAAGGATATTTCCCCTAAATGAGAAATGGGAACAATCTTAAGGGAGACAGAAACCAGCCTCAGTCTCCCTTCTCCAAGCAGAAACTGAGCAGGCCAGCTTCTAGTAATGCAGATGTGTGTAATTCATTCAGAAAGGCTAGGCCAATCTATTCACAAACTCCTTCAGGAATTAAGATGGGATTAAGAAAGGACAGGACACGATCGCGACTCCATTCATGGAGAAAAGTGGAAACCATACTGGCCCACTAAGAAAGGCGGACTAGAGGCAATAGGTAACAGGATAAAATCAATCACAGGTGCCTTGCAAGATTAGGACGAAGGAAGCAATAATTAAGCCCCTCACGAGCCTTTGCGAAAGAAATAAAACCAGTCAAATAATAATCCACAAAGCAAGCCTCCAGATTACAAAACGCTCATTGCTAACTGGTGGCAGCTGCTTCTGTCCCTAGCCTGGAGTCACCTTGCTGCAGCTTGCTGCAGCTGTGGCTCAACTTCAGCCTGTCCCTAGTCCGATCGACTAGCATCGGTTGTGACTAACATTTGGCTCTGCGCTTTCCTCTGCAGACTCAAACTCGCCCTCTTACTCCGAAGTCACATCCAGAGAGGGGCGGAAGGAGAACGGATCCATGACACTTTCTTAATTGTTCCCTTTGCGCCAGCGGTGGGATTCCACATTTTATCCTTCCTACGAGAGCGTGCGTGCAACACTCAAAAAGCACTTTCGGTGTCAGCGCTAGTGAGGTGAGCTGTTGTTGTTTTTTAGCTTAGCTGAGATGCGGCAACACAGTCTGCTGCGTGAATCAGCTCAGCTAAAAAACAAGGGAATATAGGAGAGGTAACAGCGAGGGTGGGTCCAGTCAGAGGTGGTATTTGCCGTTCTCTGAACTACTCAAAATTTCCACTACTGGTACGGCGGAACTGGCTCGAACTGGCTGAATACCACCTTTGCTTTGCACCTACATGAGATTTAAATCCAGCCCACCTGGAATTCCTTTGACTCTTATCTCCGGCCATTTTGTTTGGGCCTGTTAGGAGCGCAGATTTTTGTAGGGACCCAATAAATCTTTATACTCATTTGAACTGCCCGGATCTCCTGATTTCCCCGGTGTTTGACCTTGGCAATCCATCTGAATTATAAGCAGAGCGCTCCATAGGAACCTCCTGTTTTTGTTTTAAATTAAAATGAAAAACAAAACAAAGCAAAATCCTAAACAGCCACCTCTCTGGAAACCACAAAAGACCATTAAACGTTCTAAATTAAATTTCAGCAGTAAGAACCCCGCAGGATTTGCTGAGATTTGAGCCACTTAAAAAAAAAAAAAACCCTCACAAGATCTGCAAAGGAATCGCAGGAGGAAAGTCACCGAAGCTGAAGTCCAGGCCAAGGAAGGGGACCATCTCTGGTGAACCAAAGATCTTGAGAACTTCAGTACCTCTTGATTACAATTGATTGTTTGTTTTTATGAGGCCACAAAGAGTCCTTCAGCAAAACTGGCGGGAGATCTTCTTCCCATCTAGTATCACAAGAAAAAGAGAGAGAGAGAGAGAGAGAGAGAGAGAGAGAGAGAGACTCTACATCTGGGGTAGGTTTTAGGTGGACCTCATGGCTCTCTCAGCAAAGTCCTCAGAGGAGAAATTGCTCACAAAGGGAGGTTGCCCTGGCTAATTATTACCTCTCCCTGACCAAGAGGGCTTTCAAAGGAAATGTCCTCTGCCCTTTGAATGGTACCATCCTCCTTTTGTATAGCACCAGCTGGGTGACCTCAAGATGTTCTAACACAGTTCAGGAGTCACATCCATTTTGGGGCCAAATCCTGAGAAGAAGTTGCTCACTCCCAGTCTTGTGTCCAGACCAGCTTGGTGGCCATTCCTCCTCCTCTCCTGCCAATGTCCTTTCATTTATCTCCACACATTTCAGATGACCTCAACTCAAGAGTTCCGCCATGTGTTTCAAAATGGGGGCCTGCCTGAAGATCAAGGACAGCTATTCCTTCACGAAATGGCCAGTTGAATATTCCTGGGATGAGGACAACAAAAGTAGGAGCAGTGAGAAGAATAACAGCAGTCACAGGAGCACTCTGCCAGGTGTGGCCACAGCTGCCCAGGATGGAGAGGCCAAGAAGGTCAAAATTAGCGTCCTCCACCAAATGAAACGGGCGTCTGGCACCTGGATCAGGTACACCTTGGCTCACACCGTCGGCCGCTGGCTGCTTTACCCTGGTTCCGTCTGTCTCTTGAACAAAGTCCCGCTGAAGATGCTGGTGAATGGGAGGACTCGCCTGATGGAGGACTTTCAGGGGAAGCGGGCCAAGCTGGTGGCTTGCGATGGGAACAAGATTGATACCATGTTTGTGGACCGGCGTGGAAGTAGCTCTGGGAAGCTGGGAATGCAGTTGGTGATCACCTGCGAAGGGAACGGCAGCTTTTACGAAGTGGGTTGCTTCATCACTCCGTTGAAGGCGGGGTACTCCGTCCTGGGATGGAACCATCCCGGTTTTGCCAGGAGCTCGGGGAAGCCGTACCCTCAGAATGACATCAATGCCATGGACGTGGTCATCCGGTACGCCATGCACCGTCTGAAATTTAGCCTGGAGGACATTGCTGTCTATGGTTACTCCTTGGGGAGTTACACCGCGACGTGGGCTGCCATGGCTTACCCAGAGTTGGGAGCTCTGGTTCTCGATGCCTCTTTTGATAGCTTGCTCCCTTTGGTCGCCAAGCTGGTAACTGAGCAGGTGAGGAAGCTGGTCCTTCAGACGATCAAGGAGAACTTTAACCTCAATGTGGCAGATATGTTGCACCACTATCGAGGGCCGGTGCTCCTCATCAGAAGGACTTTTGATGAAATCACAACCACCCAGTTCCATCTGGAGAACCACCTTCCCATGATCCAGACCAACCGTGCCAATGAGCTACTCCTGCAGATCTTAAGGTGCCGTTATCCTAACATCATCACTGGGGTGGAAGATGTGGTCAACCAATTTCTCACTGCTGACTGCCGTCGCGTGGAACACTTCATCTACCACCATTTCTACCGGGTGGACGACAACTGGTGTCTCGATCAACTGAAGACCTATCAGTCCATCGTCGGAAGTAAGGCTGAATTCCCGTGGAAAGTCGGGAGTGACTTAACGTCTGCAAGGAAGAAGCACATGGCTTTGTTCCTGGCCAAGAAGCATCTGAAGAACGTGGAGATCACACATGGGAGAACATTACCAGCGGAAGAATTTGAGCTGCCCTGGAAACTCTAACTAGTCTGGCAGATGGTGGGTTTGATAGCAGAGTAAGAGAGAGAAATAAAAGCTAGGATACATCATTGTCTGTGGTTGCCCTGAGATGTTTGTCTAAGGATGAAGAATGTATGACTCCAAGGTGGATAGGAAGCCAACTTTCTGCTTCTCAAAGAGCTGGAGGAATGGACTGGCTGGGTCCACCCACCCAGGAGATTTAACCATGGCAGGTAAAGATCTATTGACTTCATGTGCACCAAACCTAGTTAACTCTAAACTTGGTTGGTTGGGATGATGGTGGCTTTTGCTTTATGGTTCATTATCTCCTCAAGGCTGTGTCCTAAGTCTGTTGTTCACCCTGTTGTTCACTGTTGTTCACCCTGTAAACCCATGTGCTAGGTTTACCACCAATCAGGTCATGAAGTATGTGGACAGTACAACAGCAGTGGGCCTTATTCAAGATGACAAGTGACTCTGGCATTGACTTTGCTTGTCAGAGGGTCACAAAAAGGGATTACGTGACCCCCCCAGAACACTGCAACCATCATAAATATGAGTGGGTTGCCAAGTATTCAAATTTGATCACGTGACCATGGGGATGCTATAAGGGTCATAAGTGTGAATAATAGTCACAAGTTTTCATGCCCCTGGTGGAGACTGACTCTGAGGGAGAGGAGGATCAGCCGACAGGGAGTGGAAGTGTGGCTCCGGAGGTTGTGGAGGAGGCTGGGCAGTCAGAGGTAGACCCAGGCCCATCCCCTCTCTATCCTAGGGCATGCAGGGAGGAGAGGATAAGGGAGAGATGTGAATGGTGTGGTCTACGGGGGAGGAAAGAGCCTTGATCCCCTTCATGGGCTGCAGCTGTGAGAACTGGTTAAAAGGACAGACATGCGTATGGGCCAGTGCTGGAAACAAAGCATGGAAATATCTCTAGTCTGTCGTTCCTCTCTGAGTTTGGCGTCCTTCCTGGTGTGCGTTCCAATATCTGTGGATGTCTTCAAGCCCTTTATCTTGCCTGGTTCCCTTAATTGCTTCAATGTGGTTTGTGTTGTTTTTTTCCATTTATAATTTATAGGCATTGTTAGTTTAAATGGCATTTCCTCCTTTTTCGTAACTGCTTGTGGGTGAGTTTTTTGTCTCCAGTCAAGGTTATTTGGAGCTTGGAAGCAAAGTGAAGGAATAAAAGGGGCTTTATTTGTTTATTGTGACTGTGTTTATTTTGTATCACACAAGCCATTTTTTTTTCAGTGCTGCTGTAACTTCAAACAGTCACTGAATGAATTGCTGTAGCTGGTGTGGTGGATGGTGATCTGGAGTCCTAGGAGGGAGGGGCTGCATTCTGGAGGACCAAGAGATAGTTAGGTTCAGATAGTTTGTTTGGAGGAAGAGGGTCGAGTCAGCTTCTCCATAGCAACTCCCTATGCCACCACGGTACACCAGAAGCCGTGGTGGCGCAGTGGTTAGAATGCAGCATTGCAGGCTAACTCACTGCCCACTGCCAGCAGTTTGATTCTCACCAGCTCAAGGTTGATTCAGCCTTCCATCCTTCTGAGGTCGGTAAAATGACGACCCAGATTGTTGAGGACAAGACGCTGACTCTGTAAATCGCATAGAGAGGGCTGTAAACAGAGGGGGTATTCAGCCGGTTCTGACCAGTTCTGGTGTACCAGTTGCAAAAATGTTGAGTAGTTCAGAGAACTGGCAAATACCACCTCTGGCTGGCCCCACCCACCTGCCCCGCCCTTTCCTGTCCTATATTCCCTTCTTTTTTAGCTCAGTTGATTTGCGTGACAGAGTGGATTGCCGCACCTCAGCTAGGTGTCAGGTTTCTGGCAGTTACTCCAATTAAATCATGAGCCTCGAGCCACACTCCCAAAACTAAAAAAGGTAACATTCTACGTCCGGCACTAACCTGGGCGTAGCCAACTCTGAGATACATAATTCACTGTCACTCTTGATCCTGCTTCCCCCCACCCACCCAAGAGTCATCAATCATGGTCTTCCAATTAGATTTTTTCGAGGCAGAAGCTTCAGTCATCTAATCGGTCTTTGAAGAAAATATGAATGGAATGTACTTTCGATTCCACACTGCCACCTGCTCTTTGAAACTCCCCCCGCCTTCTTTCTGTTGTCAACTATAAAGCATGTATACAAAATGTTTTATGAGTTGACATTAGGCTAAAAAAACAGCTCACCTCACTAGCGCTGACACAGAGACCGATTTTTGAGTGCTGCACACGCTCCCTCTCACAGAACCAATAGGAAACAAAGGGGACTCCCACCACTGGCTGTAAAGCACTGTGAAGTGGTATGTAAGTCTAAGTGCTATTGCTAATTCTGGGAAGATATTTTTTTTGTTACGCAATGATAGGTAGCCCTTGATTTACAACAATTCACTTAGTGGCCATTGAAAGGTACAATGGCACTGACAAAAAAGTGACGGACAACTATTTTTCACACTTCCGATCACTAAGGCATCCCCATGGTCACTGGATCAAAATCAAGCAACTGGTTATATTTATGCCAGTTACAGTGTCCCAAAGTAATGGGATCCCCTTTTGTGACCAGATTCTGGGGAAGCCAGATTAATTTAACAACCATGTTAGTATGTTAACAATAGCAGCAATATTCACTTAACAACTGTGGCAAGAAAGTTCATAAAATTGGACAAAACTCACTTAATGGTCTCTTTGGCAACAGAAATGTTGGGCTCCATTGTGGGCGTATATCAAAGATTACCTGCAGTGTGCTTTAGTTTGGCAAGATTCTGTCTATAAATGAGGAACAATAAAGGAAATTGCTCGGAAAAAAATTCTCTATGTCTTTTATTTTGGTACTCGGGGCCTGACAGCTGGCAACCTACATATTTCCAAAAAGCAACCCATTTTTTCCCCAAGACCTCCTTCCGTTCCACTTAGCTCTTCTTTAGTTTTCCAAACATACAATATCTTTTTTAGCAAGACTTCTGAACCGATTTTTATTGCCAAGGAATTGGGATCGGGGTAAAGCCTGCAGGTCGATCCCCTATGAGTAGGGAACTGGCAGCTCCCCACCAGCCCCTCCAGCCTCATTACTTCAACCCTAGAGATCAATGAGAAGGGTACACCAGGTTGCCATTGGTTTTGCCCAGTGCCAACTCTCCAGGCAGAATAACAGAGTTGGAAGGGACCTTGGAGGTCTTCTAGTCCAACCCCTTGCTCAAGCAGGAAACCCTACACCATTTCAGGCAAATGGTTATCCAGTCTCTTCTTAAAAACGTCCAGCATTGGAGCATTTACAAGTTTTGGAGGCAAGTTGTTCCACTGGTTAATTGTTCTCACTGTCAGAAAATTCCTCCTTAGTTCTAGGTTGCTTCTCTCCTTGATGAGTTTCCAGCCATTGGTTGTTTTGCCTTTTGGTGCTTTGGATAACAGGCTGACTCCATCTCTTCTTTGTGGCAACCCCATAAATATTGGAAGATACTATCATGTCACCCCCAGTCATTCTCTTCATTAAACTAGACATACCCAATTCCAGCAATCGTTCTTTATATGTTTTAGCCTCCAGTCCCCTAATCCTCTTGGTTGCTCTTCGCTGCACTCTTTCCAGAGTCTCAACTTCATTTTTACTTCGTGGCGACCAAAATTGGATGCAGGATTCCAAGTGTGGCCTTACCAGGGCCTTAAAAAGTGGTATTAACTCTTCACGTGGATTCTACCCCTCTGTTCATGCAGCCTAGGACTGTGCTGGCTGTTTTGGCAGCTGCATCACACGGCTGTCTCCTATTTAAGTGATTGTCCACTAGGACCCCGAGATCTCTTTTACAGTTACTACAATTGAGACAGGCGCGAGTCTATTCTATACCCGAAGGACATTCTCCTCCGCCAATCCTCCATCACGGTCCTCTGGACCTCCTGCCCCACAGGGTGGGGCGGGGGGGGGGCCTTCAGCCCTGCTCAGGCAGTGGCCCCTGCCTGATTTGGGAGCTGTCTCAGCTCACAAAGGGGGCTGATGTCACCCATTGTTACGCCGTTCTTGTGGGAGGGGATGCTGAGCCACCAGGAGGCCTGCGTGGACATGGGTTCATCATGGCCACAGAGGTGTCCTTCTAAAGCCAGCGCCATGCAGCTATGAAGGAAGTGGTGCAGCCACGAAGGCCCTACTTCTGAGACATCAGAAATATCCAGGTGGGGGGGGTCCTTGCCTTGCCCTCTCCGTTGTTTTTTTTTAAAATTACTTTATGCAGCGCCTAGAGAATAAGCATCGTCTCCCTATGTGTCTCTTCTGTTTTCCCAAAGCTCTAGCCCGGGTTTTTAAGGCCTATTTTACGGCCAGTTATCACTTCGATTTTGCTAACTGGCCAGTGGAATTTCGATGGGACGACGCAGGAGGCAGCAGCAGCAGCCTTCCGGCGACTCGTGGCGACCATGGCAAATCCCGTAAGCACCCGCTCCTCAAGGCTGTGCCAGGAGCTTGCCCCCCCGAGCTGGCATTTGAGGCTGGTCCTTGTGGACATCAGAGCAGCCAATGGAACCTGATCAGCCGCCTGAAACAGTTGCCCAGTCGAGTTGCCAGCTACATCATGGCTCACTCCTTAGGACGGTGGCTGTTGTACCCGGGGTCGGTCTTCCTTTTGAACCAAGCTCTGCTCCCCATCCTGGCCAAGGGCCAGACTCGCCTCTTGCAAGAGTATAACGGGAGACGGGCGAAGCTGGTAGCCCGGGACGGGAATAAGATCGACACCATGTTTGTGGATAGAAGAACCAGGCTGAACGTCCCCGGAACTGAACGGGGGAACCGCCTGGTGATCTGCTGCGAGGGGAACGTCAGTTTTTATCAGTGGGGCTGCCTGTTCACCCCCTTGAAGACAGGCTACTCGGTGCTGGGGTGGAACCATCCTGGCTTCGCCGGAAGCACTGGGCAGCCGTACCCGAAGAACGACGCCAACGCGGTGGACGTGGTGATGAGGTATGCCATGCTCCGCCTGGGCTTCCGGGTGGAGGACATTGTGATGTACGGGTGGTCCTTAGGGGGTTACTCGGCCACCTGCGCTGCCGTGTCCTACCCAACGTTGGGCGCGTTGGTCCTGGATGCCACCTTCGATGACCTGCTCCCCTTGGCTCTGAACGTCATGCCCAAGAGTTGGAATAAGCTGGTGGTGCGGACGGTGAAGGAACACTTCAACCTCAACGTAGGGGAACAGCTGTGCAAGTATGGCGGCCCCGTCTTGCTCATTCGCAGGACTAAGGACGAGGTCATCAGCACATGCCCGGTGGGTCTGGAGGACCAGATAGCCAATCTCCGGTGCAACAGGGCCAACGAGCTCCTGACCCAGTTGCTGCAGCACCGTTACCCCTGTGTCATGTCCCAGGAAGGACTGGAAGCTGTCCACGACTGGCTCCGAGCCTTCAACGCCAAGCAGGAAGCTGCCCTTTACCAGCGCTACCAAGTGAACGACGCCTGGTGCCTGAAGGAGCTTCAGAGCTACAAGTCCATCGTGGGGATGAAGGACCGCTTCCCTTGGCAGGTCGGGAAGTACAGCCAGCGGCGAGAGAAGCAACAGTTGGCCGTCTTCTTAGCCAGGAAGCACCTGAAGAACGTGGAAGCCAGCCACTGGTCTCTTCTGAAGCCCGACGACTTCCAAATGCCATGGCGATTGTAGCAGGAAGAGGCGGGAGACGGGCACGGAAGGGAGAAAAGAGGAAGAGACAGACAGACAAAGAGAAGGTCTTGGAGAATCTGATCTCTTGTGTGTCTCTGTGGTCTTTGGGTGATGTGCCCTTTTTCCTAAGTAGGGGTCCTTCAGTGCTGCTGGATCTCCCCCGTCCTCTATGGCAGGATGAAAGCTATGAGTGGGATTCAAATTTTTTTTACTACTGGTTCTGTGGGCGTGGCTTGGTGGGCGTGGCAGGGGAAGGATACTGTAAAAATCTCCATTCCATCCCAACTCCTGGGGAAGATTACTGCAAATTCCCCAGTCCCTCCCCACCCCACTAACCTGCTTTCCAGCGCTGTTCTCCTGTGCAGGGCAACCAAAGAAGACCCAGCCAATCAGCTGGAACTCAATGGGAGGCAGAGAATAGATGGGGGCGGGGCCAGTCAGAGGTGGGATCTGCCAGTTAACATATACTCAAAATTCTCGCTACCAGTTCTCCAGAACGGGGTCAGAACCGGCTGAATACCACCTCTGCTATTGTGGCTGAGGGCTAATCCTACCTTTGTTCAGTTCTTACTGCAGGGAATTTCAAAATGTCCTGTCTTGAATGGATTTCTGCCTGCAGTATTTGCTTTGCCTATGAATAGAGCTGTCTAGATACTTGGCTTCTTTCAATAAGCTCTTTATCTCTTAAGTGCTAACATCTGCTGAGATCTATTAAGAAAAGGTGGGAGCTGCTTTCTTCCTCTAAAAAAACACATTTCTCCATTTTTCATCCAGGGAAATATAATATTTTGCCTTTTTAATATTTCTCAAAATATTTCATTCTTCTAAGAGAGGGGTGGGTGCTAACTTTCTACAGTTGGGAACTACCCAATCATTGTGTGTGGGCTGAGCAGCCATGTGATTTTTAAAAAATGAATAAATAAGTCATTCCCCTCACAAATGTCATTAAAATGTAGCCTGGATATCAAATCTCACTAAATACCGGTTTATTTGGTTAAAACTTTAACTTCCCAGACCACTGTGAAATATCTGCACTCTGGAAGCTTTAATAATGTTGCATTTACAATACAGATGCCCCTTTTTATACTTCCAAGAACGGCGGAGGACATTTCTGGAATAGTTAATTGAGGTATCTGTTTTTGTGAAAGTCAAATAACTTTTAATATAGACATTTGCATATTGCAGAAGTTACAAGCAGCACACGTGTTGTTACATTGCTAATTTTCCACCACCAGAGCTTGGTCTGTTAACGAGAAATTCCGGGATTTAGTTATTTATTTCCATTAATAAGGCTTGCAGGCTGGAAAAAAAAAACTTAAAATTTAAGTGTGCTCTTCTAGAACTGACAACATGGAACGTGATTCTTAGTGCTGTGTGTTCCTACCGCCACTAGAGGCCGCTAACCCAAAGGTACTTTTCAAAGGGCAACTGGACTTTGTTTTGTCTTTGAAAAAGACGGGGGAGGGGGTGAAACTCGCATTGGGTCAAAGAGGAGCTGTCTGACCGACGTCTCACAATACTTCCGATTCCCAAACACAACAGTAATTTTTTTTTTGTATATGTTTTATTTGCAGTTTTATTTTGGACAGTGTAATGACAGTGCTAACCATGATACAATTACATTTACATAGTTTTTTAATCTTCTAACCTTAATATGCTCATTATAATATATATTTTATCTGTCAATATATATAATACTATTTTCCCAATTTCTACTTATTTCTCTCTCCCCTCCCCTTATGGTTCTTCCATATTCACCTCTTTATCTTTAAAGCATACTATTCTCTCTTTATGGTTCTTTATCGCTGTCTCCAAAGATATATTAAAACATCAATTACATTTCTTCATACAATGTATTTATTGATCCCTGTTAGGTCACCAATATTTTAATAGAATAGAATAGAGAATTCTTTATTGGCCAAGTGTGATTGGACACACAAGGAATTTGTCTTTGATGCAAATGCTCTCTTTATACATAAAATAAAAGCTACATTCGTCAAGAGTCAAGAATCATCAGGTACAACACTTAATGATAGTCATAGGGTACAATAAGCAATCAAATCATACTAGGAAACAGTCCATATAAATCGTAAGCTTGGAAGTGACAAAGTTACAGTCATACAGTCACAAGTGGGAGGGGATGGGTGATGAGAAGATTAACAGTAATAGTAGTGCGGACTTTGTAAATAGTTGAACAGTGTTGAGGGAATTATTTGTTTAGAAGAGTGATGGCGTTTGGGAAAAAAACTCTCCTCGTGTCTAGTTGTTCTGCTGTGCAGTGCTCTATAGCGTCGTTTTGAGGGAAGGAGTTAAATATTTTGTCCGGAATGTGAGGGGTCTGTAAATATTTTCACAGCCCTTGTTTTGACTCGTGCAGTATAAAAGTTCCTCCATGGAAGGCAGATTGGTAGTAATTGTTTTTTCTGCAGTCCTAATTACCCCCTGAAGTCTGTGTCTTGTCTTGTTGAGTTGCAGAACCAAACCAGATATTAATAATATCTTAAAATTAAAATTAATAATATTTTAAGTATTACTCAAATTCCACCATATTTCTCAGTTTTCTATAAACACCAATAAAACCAATTATTAATAAAAATTTAATCAGTCCCAGGCGTTGGAATAAAATATCCTTCTGGCTTCACTTCCAAGTGGGGAAAAAGACACTGGAAACACGGAGGCTGTTTGGAAAGACTGGATCTTAATGGGGACAGGATCACATGGAGCTCCCGAGGACTACCGGCACCGCCTTCCCGTCCCCTGCTTCCCACTTCCCAAGAGTCCATGGGGAACCCGAAGTTTGAAACGGCGCCTTATTCTCCTCCTCGCTCGCGCTCCTTAATCTCTTAGGGCGGGGCGTGGGCCGACGCTTCTTGATGACGTCCGGCAGGCCGGAAGGGAGCGTCGGCGGCGTGTGACGTAGCACCGTCAAGCGAGAAGCTGCCTCGGTGGTTGTTTTGCCCTCCGCCGTAGCCGCGCAACGGTTCCCGGGCCTGGGCGAGATGGAGAGCGCCAGCCAGGGTAGGGGTCGCCGGGGGGAGCCGCGGGGCCTTGCCTGGGGGGCTGCGGGGCTTCAGGCTTTCTCGGGGGGGGGGGGG